TTAACAAAATGGCATCTATTGGAAGATAGCGGTGGATTTTTAAGAAACCTGAAATGTAAGAGGGTTAGCCCAGACTTAGTTATTAATATCTTGGAACCAGCTGGGGAGTAAAATTAGGCTGTAAAATCATCGCACCATTTGCTCTGCCAAGCTGGAAATAACACGTTTCTCACACACTTCTCCAGGAGAAAAGTACCACGCTGGGGCACAGGAGGGACAGATCCAGTTTCTTTGTCTCTGCCTTCTCCTTTGTCGGGTTCATAATCTCACTCACCGAGCTCACAGATCGAAGGGTCAAAGTGCAGAGGTGAAGCGGGCCTTGGAGTCAGGCTGCCGCTGGCGCCCTCCATTATGGTGGTGGCGGGCTCTAACCCTCCCTCTCTAGTCCCTCATTCTCTCATCTAGCAAATGAGGCCAGTGATGGTGGTGACAGCTGGTCCGCTTAGCATCCAGGTGGAGCACGGAACACTCTCAGGGATGCCAGCCGCTGTCAGGTGATGTCTTTACAGCAGGATCTGCCACCGGGTCCACTTCCAAAACAGACAACCCCGTAGGCAGCCTGGTGAAGAAAAAGAGAAAGTTCAGGCGAGCAGAAGAGGCATGTGATGCCAACCTCATAGAAACAAACAGACGCACAGGGGACAGATAAGACAGCTGCATGCCGGCGGCTCAGACAGCTTGGATAGGGTGGCAGCCTCTAGAAACGTGGGTCACCCGACTGCCATGAGAGAGAAAGCCCTGAGAGATCTACGTCAGGAAACTGAGCCAACACAGAGAAACCTCGCCGTGAAGAAATCTCAGGACCAGGTGGCTGCGTTTGTAACTCCTCCAGAACATTTAAGGAATTAACAACCACGCTTGTCCAACTCTCCCAAACCATGCAGCAAGATGAATGCTTCCCAACTCATTCTGTGAGGTCATCATTACCCAGAAGCCAAAAAACCAGTTCCTTACTCTTGTTCGAACTCGGCCCTCCCTGACCTAACGTTCTCCACATTCTCTCACTCCAAACTGTTTCTCTTCTTAGCTTTGATCCCCACCTCACACCCAGGCTACCCAGTCACCCTGCCTTCTCCATTGGCATCCGAGTTCCATCACAGCAGGGCATTGGAGTGTTTCTTGGTAAATTCTCAGCGGCTGGAATGGTACCCATCACATAAGAGATGCTCAGTAAAAGTTTACTGAGTAAGAAGGTGAACACGCTGTCTAATCATTCATTGTGGGGAGACGGTTGTACAAACACGGGTGGGGTGGGGTGGGGTGGGGTGGGGGGACGGAAACGGCCGCCAGGAGAAAATGAGCTTCCAGAGGCAGAGAGATAAGCAAGGAAGTGCCCTGTCAGGAGACTACAGGAAGTGGGTTTCTTAAAAGCAAGCACGCTCCCTGTGTGCATCAATGCCGGAAAGTCAGAACACAAAATGCCCATTGGAACTTCCCGTGAATGAAGATTACCAGACACAACAGAGGAGCCCCACGGGGACATGGGAGGGCTGAGGACATCGATGGGACGGGTGTGGGGAGTGAGAAGGGAGAGTCAGGTCCTCAGATAATAAATAATAGGTGGGACAGAGTGAGAACCTGATACATGAAGGTAATGGTATGTAGTGTGTGATGTTCTCCTCCTTAAACAGGGTTTCTGTGCTCTGGGAACCTTTGAGATCCCCTCTTCTTGTTTTTCTGAAATTGTTTCAGTTCCTGCTACAGGGCCTTTTGCAGTGTCCCCCGACTTAACAGTGTGTTCCCGTCTATGTTCCGGCCTTCCGCTTCACCTCTCCTCCCTCTTGCCATTCCCAGGCTCCATTTCCGCTGCTGCTCCTGAGAAATGAACTTCTGGATCTGCCGCAAACGAGTAGGGGCCCACGGCATCTGCCTCTGCCTCCCGCACTTCATTCATCCCCGCTTCGCCTCACTGCCGCCAGAGAGACAGGGTTCCAGTCTTATATTTAGGCAAAGTTGGTTTTTGTTGTTGTTTTTCGAGACAGGGTTTCTCTGGGTAGTTTTGGAGCCTGTCCTGGATCTCGCTCTGTAGACCAGGCTGGCCTCGAACTCACAGAGATCCGCCTGGCTCTGCCTCTCGAGTGCTGGGATTAAAGGCGTGCACCACCACCACCCGGCTTAGGCAAGTTTTTGAAGTAGATTTTTGCTATAGAAAGGAAAGTACAGAGAAAATGGGGGAAATGCTGGAAAGGCCGAGGGACAGGTGAGGATGCTGTTTTCGTGTGGCTAAGACTTCCGTAAGTTTGAGGGCCTGTGGAAAAAATACAGCTGAGGGGTGACCGATTCTCTGAGGCCCTACCAGGACCCAGTCTCCTGGAACCAGGTCTGTTTACCATGTAACTCTTTTTTCTGGCTCAGTTGAGGATGCTCACGGGGCAGGGCAGAGGCCGAGGGGGTGGGAAGTGAAACTGAGGGATGGAAAATGCCTACTTCAACGCTGTCATGTTTGTG